AGTACTCTGGGGTGGAGATCATCTGGACTAGCTGACTTGAATACATCCAGTCCCTCCAGAAGTTCCCTAACTAGTTCCTCACTAACCCTTGGCCTAGGTGAGCCTCCCCTGGGGTGTGAGGTGGACCCAGCGGGGGGATGGCTGTTCTGGTCCCTGCTTAGGAAAATGGAGGCAAAGAAATCATTAAATATGTTGGCTTTGTCATCTGGTGTGACAACCAAATTTCCTAGTGTGTCCTGCAGGGGCCCCACATTAACCGGAACCTTCTTTTTGCTCCCTATGTATTTAAAAAAGGACTTCTTGTTGTCCTTGATCCGGGTAGCTAGTCCCAGTTCCATCTCCACCTTGGCCTTCCTGACTGCCCCCCTGCATCCCTGAGCAACTACAGTATAGTCCTCCCTGATGATGGCCCCTGCCTTCTATTGGGTGTATGCCTCCCTTTTTGCTAGGAGACATTCCCGGATGCTTTGGGTGAGCCATGAGGGCTTATGTGCCCTCCTGTTCCCTTTGATCCTTGTTGGGTTTACCTCCCTTTGGGCTTGGAGGATTATCTCCTTAAGGAGCAACCACTCTTCTTGGACACCTGGCTCCCCTCCCCTCCAGGACCTCAGATATTTCAGTTCTTAGAATTTGCACATACATTTTGTTCATTGGGAACTTAGTAGAGCAGTTATTCTCAACCAGGGTATTGTGGCACCCTGAGGAGCCTTGAGATCCTTTCAAGGGTGCTGAAAGGTACTGTTTAATGTTAGCACTGTGGGACATGCAAATATGATTCACAAGATAAACCCAGAGATTTCAAATAGGAATCCATGGTGTCAAAACATTCTGACCAGTTGGGGCCTTTGTGAGTTCTTTGTGAGAAAAGAACTGCTCTACTATTTTTCCATAGTAAAAATTTGAATGAAAACTAAGAGCTTGCATTTTCCAAGCATGAGCCTTGAGTCTGTCCAGGGATACCTTGCATCTAAAAAGGTTAACAGCCACTGCACCAGATCTTCTAACCTGCCTCCTTACATCTTGGAAGTGTACATTACTTTTAATAATTGAGGCTTCGGTTGTCCAAACATTCAGGCTAAGTACAAACAGTCAGAAAGCCTGAGGCTGAATCAATCAGTCTTTGCAGGTTAGTCTAAATTGGACAAATTAAATCAAAACAGAAGTGAACAGACATCTACCTTTGACTCAGGAAATGCAGCCACATGCCTGCGGTGGCTGAGGCCAGAAGCTGGGGGTGCTAGAGCACAGCTCTCTTACTATGTGTTCACTTCCTCTTCCTGCTGCCCTCTGAGGTCTCTGGGATTTGCTGTCCAGACTTATAGCAGGAGGATTCTACAGGGTTGCTCATTACTTCCTCTTCCTGTTTCCAGGTGCCTCTGGGATTTGTAGTCCATAGTCGCAGCCAGCAGTAAGTTTGAGCAGGGGAAGGGGTGTTTAACCCCACTCCCTGGCCCCAGACCCCAGCTGGGGTTAGCCAAGAGGGAGGCAGTCCCCACCCCTGCACACTGGGCTGCAGCCCCAGCTGGGCTTGTTCCCCTTCCCCCTCATCCCCTTGTCAGCCAGCCCTCACTGGCCCAGCTGGGGAGCAGTGGGGTGGGGCCAGCCCTGCTCTCCAGAGCAGACATCCCAGCCCAGGGCTGCAAAATGCTGGGATGCTGGAGGACTGTGATTTAACTTAAACCAGGAAGGCATCTGGGGCAGGAGTTTCATAAACCAATTTGACCCAAATCAGTTAAATCTGATACTACATTCAACCAGGTTCATCTTAAATCAGTTTCAGTCACTTTGAAATTGGTTCATGTGCATTGAGCTTCTGTTCTGTTACAGGTTTTAAACCAGTTTCTGATCACTTAAACCAGGTTATGTGTAACTTCTGCCCCTAACCTCAAACATAAGTGACTTTCTGAATGTAATTGTCTACAGAATTGATCTTTATAACAAACCTTACACAATATGATAAAATCATGGTAACACTTTTACCTTTTGGGAAAAATGAGAAATGAACTGCCTGAATTTAGGAATCAGAGAGTCATGGTTTGGAAAGGACCTTAAGGTCACATAGTTCAGTGCCCTGCACTTGATTACTCAGCAAACATTCCCTTTCTATGTTTAGTCTGATAGACCTAGTCTGCTTGACTTAGTCTGCTTTCAGTGTGTTCAACATTGTTCTTCCAGAGTGAAATTTGCTGCGGTATGGAGAACCTGTTCTGTGTCTGGGCCAGAGCACCTGAGAAAACATGGAGGCCTTGCTTTGAATATTTCTATCTGCCTTTGGCAGCAAGGAATGATTTTTGTGGTTGTTCTGAATGGGCTACTGCAGAGGAAAAGATTGAGGGCAGGCTAGAGAGGCATCTGTGAACCCACACTTGCACAGATCCCCACCTTATTTGGTGACAGCTACTATTCCAGCTCACAGATATGGAGTAAGCAATGTTGGGGATGTTAATAGTGCAGCCTGTTTCCTGAATGGAGTTTATTTTTTTGTATAAGTGATCATCAGCAAAACAGAATAGCATTTCCCCAGAAGCTACAGGACATTAATAACACCATTTCTGAGGCTCAGAAATGGGGGGTACCATAGGCCACATAACAATTACCCCACTGCAAAAAGAGGCCTGAATGAAATCTGCATGGAAACTTATAATACGTTAATAGTTTCCTTGCTGGCTACTGCTACTATCTAAATGGAGAAAATAAGTCTAGCATTCTTTTCCAGTCTCATCATTTTAGTTTCAACTAGATTTTTCTTTTTCTTGTTTCCTCCTCTCTTTCAGGACTGTTATTCTGAGTGAAGGACCCTGCAAGCGCTACTAAGTGGTTATCATGGGCTTAATTGCATTTCTGAAGACCCAGTTTATAGTTCATCTCCTCATTGGGTTCGTCTTTGTTGTGAGCGGATTGATCATTAACTTCATCCAGCTATGCACACTAGTCCTCTGGCCAATAAACAAGCAGTTTTATCGCAGAGTAAACTGTCGTCTCTCCTACTCGCTTTGGAGCCGTGAGTATTCACTGTTGGGGATGAGAGAGAGAGAGAGAAAGAGATAAAGGGATTTTGTAAATTGGGAGCAATGTTCTTGAAATATTAGAAAATAGTCATGTTCCTGTGACTGTTATTTAAAGGGACAACTAGATCAAGCTGTTCACAGTCTCTGTTGTACTGTCTTGTGGGAAATTACCTCTTGTATTTCAATGGTAATCTATATTAATGCATCATTAAAGGATACAGACTTTCTCTGCTTTTGCCCTTTGTGAATGGTGCTACTTTGCTCTCCTCCTTCAAAACCCTCCCTTAAACTCCCTTTTCTTAATTTTAGACTACTTTATTGATCCCTGCTCCTGCATCCAAGGTCTCTTCACTCACTCAGGCTGTTCAATGTGGGATAATACTTCCAAAATGAGTGTCTAACTGTAGGCTCCTAGATTCATCTCTAGGCACCTACTTCATCAGCCATTTAAAAACCATGCACTCAAAACATTATAAATAAAAATATCCTGAAGGATCTAAAATCTGCATATGCAACTCAGCAGCTAATCTGAAAGTCACTTACTTGTTATTCCTGTACCTCTCAGTGTCTTCCCTTTGTCAGCCTGCTTCCTAAGATTTGAAAGGAAAACCAAATCAAAGGGGGGGGGTGTTGGGGGAAGCAAATTGTTAGGGGAAAATATTTTAATGTTCAGAGGAGGATATTTCAAAGGGAGGGTGTATGTGTGTGTGTGTGTTGGGGGAAGCAAATTGTTAGGGGAAAATATTTTAATGTTCAGAGGAGGATATTTCAAAATTGCCTCAGGGCTTTTTGTTTTGTTTTGTACATTTTACTGTGTCCCTTTTTAATATGCCAGAGCTCAGGCCTCCAAGCCTCTGTTCATACAAGTTATCTGACTGACTTTGCTGGGAATACAGCTGACTTGTGACTCATGACAGCAGCTTTATCTGTTCAGGTTGTTGTTTTGTGCAGTTTAATATGGTGCATGGAGTATTATCCATTGTCTAACACAGAAGCAGATTTCTTTTTTAAAAAAATCTCTACTGAATCTATAGACCATATGCTATTATTGCTCAAAAAGACACACAGCAGCTGAATAAAGGTGATAACATCTTGCATCTTAGTTTGTAGCCTACTTGAATTAAAATGAGTGAGAAATTTAAGCAATGAATAACTAAGTTTATAATGTAAATGTTATCTCAGTCTGCACAGTGCTAATGGACTGTAGTGAAAAGCTTGACAGAATGTTTGCTTTAATTGTGATTTATGTAATGAAAGAAACTATAATCTTATAATGTAGCAGTGCAAGTGTTGTTAACTATATAAATAAAGAATATTGTAGTAAAGCATTTTGGTAGTGGAGTTATAGCTCAAATTTCATTCTAGATCCTTAGTTGTGGTCACTGAGAAGTATACCATTTAAGCCCTGGACAGTTACAACGTTTGCTTTGTTATAATTGACCTTTATATTGATATAAAAGAGGAGCAGACAGACTATGCAAAGACTAATACTGGAGTAATGTTTCCCTGTCCAGAACAGAATTACTCAGAAAAGGATCAGGTTGCTTTCTGTAATTGTTGTAAATTACTCTAGTGCACCATCATCTGTTTGCACCTTTTCCGGCAGGTAGCCATTTGCCTAAGGCAAACAGACTAGTGCCTGTACACCTACCACATATTGGCAAGCGTCTGTTATAACAGCCTTCCAAGTGTATCCCCCGCAGGGTGGCTGTGTAGCTAGCCATTCCAGATCCTGGTGTAATTTATGTGGGTGTACAAAATCAATTTAAGGTACACTGGTGTAAACAGGCTTGTCTGTCCAGAGCCTAAGGCTCTTATTTTTCATGCATGATTTCATCTCAAAGCCTGTGTTGTGTTTTCTTTTTAAGCAACGTTAACAAAGCCACCCCACCCACGCACCTTTTTGCTTTTGTTATAACTCTTCTTTTGGTCTTTTGATCTGTACTTAGTATTGCTATATTTGTCCATAGTGAGTAGTATGCCATGTGGATGAGACAGGTCATCAAAGAAACTATCACATACAAGATATGATGTAGTTCAGGCGGTTCCAGATAATTGACAATGGTGATGAAGCAGGAAGAGCCCAGCTGTTGGCTCCAAAGTCCCATTTTTACTTTGCTAGGTCAGTGTCTAGGAGAAAAACTACTTTTACATGAGAAAAGAACAACTTGCATTATTACTGAGGCACTAAGTACATAAGACCATAGCATCATGTGTACAGAATCACTTTCTGAGTACAACCATTGGTTAGAGTTAAGTCCATCACTGTCCTAGCTCTTGGTTGCTTTTGCAGTGAATATAGAAAAGGGTCAGCTGAAAATTTATTTATTTTTCTTATTTTGGTGGGTTTTTGTCACCGATGTAACAGTTATCTTTTTTTTTTACCAAATGTTGCTAGCTGTGGTATTTGTCCTTTTGGAAGATTAATTGTGATGGGAATCATTCACAAACATACATAATTTCAGGAGGCTAGAGTCTCCTTACTGTAATTATAAGTGTGGTACCTCTGAAAATCCCCATTGTGTTGGCAAGTGGTACTGAAGGTGTCCGTTAAGACTCCCTATACCAAGAAAACACTTCATGACACATTTAATTCACAAGGAGCAATCTGTATTACAGCTTTCCCATGTCAACTCTCTTCAAGTGAGTCATGCTTTTTAATAGTGCAATGGGTTTAGCTTAGCCCTGTTGTAGAAAAATAATCTCTTAAAATCTCAGGGCATTTTTACACGTGCTTGGGGGGCACCTGTGACTTTAAGTGGAGTGTCTCCGAGAGCCGCTCTTATTAAAACACCACAGCATCTCATGTATCAGCATCCCTGTGCTTCAAAATTGCCTCCACTGCCAGCATCGTGTAGGGATGCTGGTACACAAGACGCTGTGGCTGGGTGGAGTGTGCCAATTTGCACACTTGATTAATCGAGTCTGCTCTGACACGCTGCAATTAAAGTGCATTGGAGCAGCCTCCCAGCATGTCTACAGGCGCCCTTAGTGTCTTGAAATTAATATCCTCTGTGTTCTGGGCCAGTATTTCTCAAGTTGAGGTATGTGCACCTGTTGGGTTTTGTGACAGACTTTTGGAGAATATGTGGAAAGAAGTAGTGGGATAACAGACCAAGGGAAATGGCAAGTATAAATGGAAGGAAAGGGAGAAAGAAAAACAAAATGAAGAACAGTTTTATAATAATTCTTAGGTGGTTGAAGAGGTTACAGTGGGAACAGTGATGCAGCGTTACTTTCTGATTATCCATAACGCTGAACCCTGAGGGTCAGGCACAGCAATAAAACACATTAAAAGGGGCATGCAGCTTGTGATGTTTGAGAACATACTGCTTTAGAGCAAGAGGTAGATATAACTTTTAACTTTTGATGCAGGTGGGCTGGTGAGGGGGTTGGTGGCTGGGGGGAGGAATGCCTCCCTTTTCATGCAGGCCATGGCGGTTGCATTGTAGTAAGGTCCCCCAGCACAAGTAGTGGAAGTAGCACAGAGGTGGCTATTTGGTGCCCCTCTGAATCAGCACTCGGGGTGGCAAGAAGCTTTTGTTAAAGCAAAATATTGGTGCACAGGCATGGTGGCAGCTTTCTGTATAAAGTGTGCAAAATATGTAATGGATCGTTATAAAGAGCAAGCAAAACCTTAGGAGATTAGGCTGATTGTAGCATTAATGGCACAAGTACGATACTAAAGAACTAAATACTAAATATTTTATTAAACTGCCAACACAAAAATAAGCAAACAGAAGCCCACCCCCTGATGTACTCACATTTTGTATCTATGCGCTTGTAAAGGACAGCCTGCTTCCCACCTCATTTCTCAAACTGAACTTTTTAACAAAAAATCTCTGGAAAAAATGCCACCAATATTTCAGAGCAAACTGTGGGGAGTGATGTTGTATCAGTTCCTCCATAGCTGGCTCAGTAGATTTTTTTTTCTTCTGCTCATTAGCAGAGAGCGCAGGTTCAGTCTCTCTCTCGCTCTTTTTTTCCCCTTTTTTGTTTTAAATAATGGGAAAATTTTTAAGAGTAGAGTTTAATTAAGTACAAGAAATATAGTAAAAGTAGTATCTAGAAAGGGATAGAAGGTAAATTTGTTCAGTGTCCAGCCCTATAAGGATACATTTCTGGCTGCCTTGGGGAATAAATACTTGTTTGGTTGGAATTTTTGGTGAGATCCAATGGGCTTTTATATAGAGCAGTAATATTCATTGGCTAAATTAAGTGTTTTAAATTTGTGTTCATTATCATAGATTCATAAATGTAGGGTTGGAGGGGACCTTAGCAGATCATCACGTCCAACCCCCTGCCCTGTGCAGGAATGAATACTGGGCTTATATGACTCCTACTAAGTTTAAGCTCACATGACCCCAGCTAGGTAGTTATCAAGCCTCCTTTTAAAGACCCCAAGGTAGGAGCCAGCACCACTTCCCTTGGAAGCTGGTTCCAGATCCTTTATCAATAAAGCAGTTATCCTGTGGCCCAAATTCTGCGTAAAGGTGATGGTATAAATATACATGCTCGTAATTTAGTGTACATCCATCTAGGATCATATTTAATCTATTTACCTATAATTCATTGGGCTGAATTAAAAAGTTAATAAATATTATGATCCAGGGCACATGGCATGAGATCACAGCAGAGAAAGAGTAGTAAATCTTGAGGTACATCACAACACCTGACATGTACTGTAACGTCTTTCTTGTCCCCTTCAGAGTTAGTAATGTTGCTGGAATGGTGGTCAGGCACCGAATGTACTTTATTCTCAGACCAGGCCACAGTGGATAAATTTGGAAAAGAGCATGTCATCATCATCTTGAATCACAACTTTGAAATAGACTTCTTGTGTGGCTGGACTATGACTGAACGCTTTGGAGTGTTAGGGGTGAGTAATTCTGTGAAATGTCCTTTAACCACCAGGTGTGTAAATTGGTTTTGAACTCGTGCGCATTTTTCTTTATGGGGTGATTTTTCAGAAGCAGTTCCATTTTCTTCAGGTACTGAATCAGACCTAATGCTGACTACTTTTGAAAATCTCAAGGTAGTGCTTTTATTTGAGTCTAATATATAAATAATCAAGTGTTATCTTTGGGGGGCGTTTCTTACAGAGTTCCAAAGTTCTTGCTAAGAGAGAACTGTTATACGTTCCCCTGATTGGCTGGACATGGTACTTCCTTGAGATAGTTTTCTGCAAAAGAAAATGGGAAGAAGACAGAGATACAGTTATTGAGGGACTAAAACGTTTGTCTGACTATCCTGAATACATGTGGGTAAGTGTATGATCCTTCATATAGCACATCCTATTTTGGGAGTGGAACAGTGAATCCTGGGCTTCTGCTGTGCGTCAACCTAAGACTTAAGAGTGAAGATGCACACTCTTTCCTGCGACTTACACTTGTAGCATAAAGACCTCCCTAGCTTGCTCTTGCACTCATGGCTGAGGGCAGGTGAAACTTGGGGGCATCTGAACCCCAAGCCTCTGGGTTTGGGCCAGCACATAGGATGCCTGCCAAAAGACTTTGGAAATATCTGAAGCCTCCAGTGGGGGTGGAGGATGTTTGCCAGTTGTAGAGGCCCTTATGGTTCTGGACTGACTCATGGATTTGGACTTAATTTCACTGATTTGGCTTGGAACACAAAACATGTCTTAAAGCAAACAAACAAAAACTTGTAGCATATTTTTTCACATACAATATGCCCTGAATAAAATTGCACATTGGGCTGATCCCTGTGGAGCATCTACAGTGGTACTTTCATCTCCCCCTGGCAGAAGCTTAAGGTACAGAAACTGCCTTACTTATAATGCTTATCCCAATTTCCAGTGGTTGATTTTTGGAGAAAGGAAGGTGTGTGTTTTATGCAAGAATAATACAGAGATTTTTTTTTAAGGCCAGGAAGACGTGTTTTCAATGTAGGAACAAGGAAGCATGAAATGAATGAGAGAGGCTGTAGATTGCAATGGGAAATTTTTGCTTTGATGCATTATCTTTGATCTGTAAAATTGTGCTTGATTTTGAGGAAATCTGGAAAAATATTTAGCAAGATTCCAAGTGCCCTTAAAACTACATTAGGTTCATACCAAGCCTGTGGTAGAACATTGCGCTAGAGGTCTAGAGATGGGGGCTCAACAACAGCAGTTAACTCCTCCTCCTTGTATCTGGGAAAGATACTCTTCTTTGGAAGGCACAAGGAAACAATGAGCTCTTCTGCTCATCTTGTTAAATATGTAAGCTGCACAGCTTGCTAGTGGCCAGGGTCTCCTAAGATATAGGAATGTATCACTCACTTCACAAATGGAGCAACAAAGGGTCACTTCTGGAAGATTTTTCAATTTTGATTAAATTTCTACTATGACAAATGTCATCCACTTAGCTGCACTGTCATTCAAAACAACTATATAAAATCTGTGTGCTTGGCTATGTCCTCTCTGTAACCACTAGATCATACTCTTCTTGAGTCGTATACTGTATAACAGTTCCTTTTTTCCAGTGTTTTTTTGCTGTCTAGAAATAGTTGCATAAATCTCTGGGAAGGTCTACAATCTGTTCCTGTCTAATAGATAGCCTGCAGAGAGAACAGGGCATTGTTGCTACTGATTACTACATTAACTCAAGTGGTACAGCTCTGTGCTGCATAACCAATGGTCCTGGTTTCTACCCAGTTGGTGTCTTTGGGATCACCATGGTTACACATGATGCAGTTGCTAAGGCTCAGGTTGAAAAGTCGAACATTTAAAAGAAGGGTGGATAAAAATTGATATTTAAATACAAAAAATAGTTTAAATGAGCTTTTAATTTATTTTTTAAATATACCTATTTGTATTTTAATTTGAAAATATGACAGTTTAAACTTACTAGAATCTAATTATCAATTAATTTTAAATTGAAAAAATAAGACACAGATTTATAGAGTCTAGGGTCAGAAGGGACCTCAATGGATCATCAAGTCCAACCCCCTGCCCATGGCAGGAAAAGGTGCTGGGGTCATGTGACCCCAGCCGGGTGCTTGTCCAGTCTCTTCTTGAAAACCCCCAAGATGGGGGAGAGCACCACCTCTCTTGGAAGCCTATTCCAGATTCTGGCAACCCTAACCATGAAGAAGTTATTTTATATGCCCAACCTAAATCTGCTCTCTTTCAGCTTGTGGCCATTGTTCCTAGTTATTCCAGGGGGGGGCACTGGTAATCAGAGCATCTCCTGTTTCCTGCTGCCCTCACCTGGTGAGTTTGTATACTGCCACAAGGTCTCCCCTCAGCCTTCTCTTGCAGAGGCTGAAAAGGTCTATGTCCCCCAGTCTTTCCTCATAGGGCCTTCCCTACAGGCCTCTAACCATATGAGTGGCCCGCCTCTGGACTCTCTCAAGGTTGTCCACATCCCTCTTGAATTGTGGTGCCCAAAACTGGACGCAATACTCCAGCTGTGGGCTGACCAATGCTGCATAGAGGGAAGCATCACCTTCCTGGACCTGTTTGTGATGCACCTACTAACGCATGACAAACTGCGGTTAGCTCTGCTAATTACTTCATCACATTGACAGCTCGTATTCATCTTAGAGTCGACAGCGACTCCGAGATCTCTTTCCCCTGCTGTGCTGCTGAGAAGGTCATCCCCCAGCCTATAGGTGTGCTGGGGATTCCCTCTCCGTAGGTGCAGCACCTTGCACTTGTCCTTATTGAACTGCATCCTGTTGTTCCCTGCCCACTTCTCTAAGCTGTCCAGGTCCTCCTGGATTCAGTTTCTTCCCATCAGTGTGTTTACTTCGCCCCATAGTTTTGTGTCATCGGTGAATTTGGATAGAGTGCTTTCGCCAAAACTTTAAAAAGAACCAAACCATTGAACTGGTAAAACTTTGTTGATAAAAATATGGAGCCAGAGTTGTATGAAGTTATCGAGCAACATTTGGCAATTAACCTCTTTTGCAGGTGCAGAGAGAGATTTTATGTACTTTACTTGATTCAGATAATTCTGATCAATTATTACTTCATTTAAAGTTTAAACAGAATGGGATTAGAAAACTTGTTTTTTCCTCTTTCAATCTAGAAATAAAAACTAGATACATGAGGATGACGTACATTAATTCTAAAATCTTGAAGAATACAGCAATAACAAACAATGTATTAATTATGGATAATACTTTTTAATAAAGCATTTAGTTTTGAATGCAAAACATAACTCTTTTTTTCCCTTTGGTATCAAGAACTTATAAGAAATTTTCTTTAATGAAAAAAATTAAATATTTTTGCACATTTAAATAGCTTTGACTTTTCATTCAGAATCACCTTGACAGAACTATAGTAAGATATTTAGCATCTAGTAAATCAGAAATAGGTTTCTCAGTTACAATCATGATAGATTCTTATATTTTAAGTTTTGGGGTTTTAAGCTACATAATAGCTTAAATAAATGTGTATGGGCTAGATTTAGCGTATCCTCTGTGTTAGCAAAAAATATCATCAAATATTGTGACAAGGCTATATCTAGTTGCAAACCAACATGTTTTAATGTTTGTACCACTGAGAATCAACCCTTTTCAGAAAATATGTTAGAAGTATAAATGCAAAACAAGATTAAAATTAATTTAAATCAAGGTTTTCTACTTGGAGACTTTAAATCATGATTGAATTGGATGATCAAAATTGGTTATTTATGTAAATCAGTAAACCCTGGAAATGTCAAGTTTAAAGTTGTTTGTACAACCTTCTGTGGATCAATTTGTGTATGCATTATAGTCTTTAATTATATAGTCAGATACTATTAGTTTGGGACCTCTTTCATTTTCTGCAAAGGATACATACTTTAAATAGGAAAAGGTTGTTACCTAATGTGTAGAGTACTGAATGGAGATTCAAGAAAGCTGAGTTCATCTGTTCCTGGTTCTGCCACTGTGATTTTTGGGGCAACACTTTCATAATGAATATACACAAGGAGGTCATACAGAGATTGTACAGTCATGTTTCATTTTGATGTTTCTGTCTTCTGTACATTTGACTACTAACTTTCAAAAGAGAGAGAGAGAGGTCATTATAGTGTTTTTACGCTGAAGAAACTTGTGTGCCTGCACACCTTGGAATGAGGTACTATTACTGAACTAAAAGGAAGATGAGAGAAAGATAGGGTCCAGGCATCAAGACGACCAGGAATCCACAGAGTTCTCCCCTGTAGAGTTCAGAACACATATCCATTGTTGTCCAGTCTTAGATTTGCTTTGCTTCTTGCCTCCTTTCCAGTAGGAGAGAATGTGGTATGGTGGCTGGGGAACTGCAGAGCTGTCTGTCCTACATTGTGGTATTATAAAGCAAGCAATAGAAGTTTTGCACTTTGTTAGTAGGGACCTGGAGTGCAGTCAGATTTAATGTAGATAGTAATTAGGGCCAGATCTTGTACCATCTGTCTGTCACCTTAGTGTCTTCCCAAGTTCCTGACCCCAAGTCCCTGAGAAGCATTTAATGCAGAAATGGATAGATACTCTTCCTGCTCCCCACTTGTTGTGGTTCGTGAGAGATGGAAGTAGGCACATTCAATTTTTTTTGTCAGGGACTTGAGCAACACGGAATAAGAGCACTCTTAGGCACCCAGTTCCACCTAGGTGGAATACGATATTGGTCCTTCATGTCTAATACATTTCCTTTGCAATGGGTATGTTAGTTTGGATTTCCCTTTCTGACTTACATTACTAGCCAGTTTCTGGCTTAAACTTTTCAGGATTTTTTTCCTGTCTTTCTCTTTAAACTATAATCAGTTACAACAGTAACCTCTTAGGACCTGTGAGATCTTAAATTTGGTACCAGTATTTCAAAGCTTTTGCAGCACCTGGGCTAAAATTGCTTCTCATCTGCACAGATAAATCTGCAGTGTGTTTACATCTTTGTTGCAGAAAGCAGAATTTCTTGGAAATCATGTGTTGCTGGCAGGTATATTAGAACGGGGATGTCCAACCAGCAGCCTGCAAGGGGTTAATGTGCAGCCCCTGGACTCCTACCTACCTTTCACAGTGCTGCCTCTTACATGGGCCACTGGTGCCTCTTGAGTCAGGGGGAACACATGCCCCACCCTGACACTAGACAGTGACTAGGCGGGGGTGGGGGGGGTCCCCCAGAGGCCGATCTCACTGACTGGGCGGGGAGGGGTCCCTCGACAGCCGATCATGCTTCCAGAAGTGGCGTGGTCACTTTTGCTGGTGGCCCCACTCCCTGGCCTGCACTCACGGGGGAGGGGCACTGCTGCACCCGCCTGGCCTCTGCCCCAGCTAAACAGGGAATGTGGCCTGACAG